AGCCGAGGTCACATGACTAGTATCACGCCACGTCCTTCTCGAACCTTCGTGAATTGTCGGGAGACTACTAGATTGGGGTAGACCTATATATATATAAGACCAGCCAAGAAACGATGGAGGATGCATAATATATATGTGTAATTGAACTGAGTATTGTTGAGTCGAGCACATGAGACATTTGTTGAGAATTATAGCGTTTGTTATATCGCAACTGTTGAAATTAAGTGTATAGCAAAGTTAAAATCAGAAAGAATAAACCAGTTTTATTTAAGAAAGGACTTGTGTCGCTAAAGTTTCGTCGGAACGAATTGACGGAAAATTAACTAACGACCAGAGACGTAACAGTATTAATAATTTGCTATAGGGTTTTGCCCGTTTTGTTTTCATGGTTTATTTAAAAGAGTTTATTTAGTATTTTAGTGTGGTATTTAGAAGGGTTTTTATTTTGTAGTTTCTGCCAAGGCTTTTATAATGACACCTGTTCAAAGAGTTTTATCTGATTTGTATTTCGGTAAACCTTATTTAAAGGGTTTTTATATGGGATACTATTTAAAGAGTTTTAGTTGACTTATATTTTAATGTTTCGTTTTTAATGTTTCTTATTCAATTTATGTTTTAAAGTTTATTTAAAGTTTTACTGAAAATGCAATGGTGATTTAATGTTTTAATATTAATATTTCTTTTGAAAGATTAACTTTTTTTGGTTTATTTAGGAGAGTTTTGTTGGTTGGAAAATTAATGTCTTGTTTGATTTCTTTTCTGTGATTGACATTTTACAAATAATGGTATAAGATTTTAAATTACATTTGTTGTTGCACATTAATATTAAGCTTATTACATTTTTTATCACTACATTCTTTATTCATTCCTTTAGGTTTTTCAAGAACAGTGTATAAGTGTTTAAACCACACTAAGGCTGCCATATCCATTGCAAACAATGCAGTTTACTGAATACAGAGTTCATCAGACTGGCTCAGCCACAAAAAACACACCAGTGACTAAAATACTATTTATATATGCTATTTCTTACAACAACAGTTGTCATGGTGTGAACATCTTTTCTAAGCTGGTGAAGCATGAGTATAATTAATTACATTTGTTGGTATACAATTTTATTTTCATTTTTGTTTATTTTCACTTATCCCAGTTCCACATGATCAAAAGTTATGTGTTTTCTGAACTATTCAATGTAATCCTTTGATACATGTTTAAGTTCAAATTTTATTTCTTTGAAAGGTTTTTTAAATTTAATTTTGGCTTAATTATTCACTGTTCATTCTAGACAGCTGTATGTGTTAGTTGGGGACTTTCATCATACAGGCATCTTGTGTAAGTGTGAGTGTTTAGTATGTTATGATGTAATGCTGTTCTGTGTTTTCATATCCAGTCTGACTCAACGTTATCATTTTCAAATGATTTTTCTGAATTGTGTTATGATTTTTTAGTTGGTGTAAAATTTAATGTTGGTTTGAGAACAAGCCTTAGACAAGAGGTTGTAGTATGCAGATACTACATATTTTAGTATCCTATAGAATATATTTTTAATTTACACAATTCTTATATTGTTTTCTAAGTCAT